ATGCAATTCTAATACAAAAGTTGTGGGATTAAAGGAAAAAATCTAGAATAAACTGTTTTCTTAGGAAATAGTATTATTAATCTAAAGAGAAAGTATAAGGAAAGGATTCCTATTCATAGTAGTTATCACAAATACTAAATATTTTGTTAGTCATGTAACATGCTTCATAAAAATACTTAAAGGATAGAATAAAATATTAATGGAAGAAATAAAACTCTGGATGGAAAGACTAAAAAAATAATAACAGTGTTACTAAGTTAATATATGGATTGAACATACTATTGGTTACATTACAAAAAGGATATTTTATAAGTTATGACAAACATAAATGGAATGTATATAGAAAACTTATTATAGACGTTCAAACACTAAAACACTTGTAAGAGCTGCTTGAAAGGGGTTTTAAAAATGGGATATAGGTTTTAGAACTAGATCTAAGTTTATAGAAGATTTCTAGATTTTTTTAAAGATTATTTATTTATTTGAGAGAGAGAGTACCCGAGCAGGGGGTAGGGGCAGAGGGAGAGGGAGAAGCAAACTCCCCACTGAGCATGGAGCCAACTGTGGGGCCCCATCCCAAGACCCAAAGATCATGACCTGAGCCGAAGGCAGACACTTAGCCGACTGAGCCACCCAGGTGCCCCAAAGATTTCTAGATTTAAAAAATAGGAATTAGTTGGGGCGCCTGAGTGGCTCATCAGTTAAGCATCCCACTTTTGATTTCTGCTCAGGTCATGATCTCAGGGTCCTGGGATCAAGCTCTGCTTGGGACTCTGCACTCAGCGGGAGTCTGCTTGAGATTCTCTCTGTTCCTCTCCCTCTGCCCACCCTGCTCCCCCAGACCCCATGCTTGATTACCTAAGATTACCTTAGTAAGATTGCCAAAAAAGGGAAAATTCCAGGGGCGCCTGGGTGGCTCAGTTGGTTAAGCGACTGCCTTCGGCTCAGGTCATGATCCTGGAGTGCCGGGATCGAGTCCTGCATCGGGCTCCCTGCTCAGCGGGGAGTCTGCTTCTCCCTCTGACCCTCTTCCCTCTCGTGCTCTCTATCTCTCATTCTCTCTCTCAAATAAAAAAATAAAATCTTTAAAAAAAAAAAAAGGGAAAATTCCATACTTCCCTGTACTCCCGGATCCTCTGCCCTCAAACTGTGGTCTCCCACCACTGTCTTGTGGCAGTCTTCGCTTTGCTGTCCTGCCGGCCACTTCCTAGTGGTGTACTCTGTAAATTTTTATCTCTGTTATTCTGCCTTGAGTGAATTCTTTCACCACCTGTACCCCAGCCTCTACCTGATTGGATCACCCCACATTTGATGGCCCCCATTTGATTGGGAGACCCCACAATAAGGATAATCAATAATATTGTTGTTATTAGTCATAGGTATAGCACTTAAATTTGCAAAGTACTGTTTAAATGCTTCATAAATGGTAACTCATTTACTTCTCATACCAATCCTAAGGGGTAAGTACTGTTATTATTCCCATTTTACAGATGACTCACAGAAAGGATAAGTGACTTGCTCAAAGTCACATGGTAGAGGATTCAACCCAGGGAAGAGTGTATGCTCTTAGCCATTATGACATATTGAACTTTAAATATATCTCTTTCAAATTTATATACACTAAAATGTAAAACAATTAAATGTGAATAATTTTTTAAAAATGAAAAATCAAAACCAAAAGTCTAAAAGAACTAAACCCAAAAAATACCATAGTGATAAATACAAACGGGCTAAGCTCATCTCTTTTTTATTTTTTTAAAGATTTTATTTATTTATTTGACAGAGAGAGACACAGTGAGAGAGGGAACACAAGCAGGGGGAGTGGGAGAGGGAGAAGCAGACTTCCCATAGAGCGGGGAGCCCAATGCGGAGCTCGATCCCAGGACCCCGGGATCATGACCTGAGCCGAAGGCAGACGCTAAATGACTGAGCCACCCAGGTGCCCCTAAGCTCATCTCTTAATAGAAAAAAATAAGGCAGTCCTATAAATCAGCAGGGTGTGGAACAACATTGGAAAAAGACAAATAATGAAGTTGGTCTCTTTTTTGTTTAAAAACACGCCAGAAACTCCTAAAATACGTGTACATGTATAAATATATAGAGGTCACAGGTATACAGCATTAAATACAGTGTTTACCTTTTAGGAGGAGAGGAAACTTAGCAGAAGTAAAGAAGAGAGACTTCTCATCTTTACTCTGTATATATATATATATATATTTTGAAAGATTATTTATTTGAAAGAGAAAGAGAGTGGGAGCAGGGGGCAGGGGGAGGAGAGAGGGAATCTTAAGCAGACTCTGTGCTGAGCATGGATCCAGTTGTGGCGCTCAATCCCACGACCCCAAGATCATGACCTGAGCTAAAACGAAGAGTTGGATGCTCAACAAACTGAACCACCCAGGTGCTCCTACACTGTATATTATTATGTTGTTAAATACTGCCAAAAATGTGTAATGTAACTAGTAAGTTTTTTTTAAAGTTTGTATAGGTAAGTAAATAATGTCAACAAGAAGAGATTCCACACTGTTAGTACTAAATATCTCTGAAAAGTAGAATTGGAGGTAATGGAAACAAGATTATTCTTCCCTTTTTTACTATACCTACTTCTGTATTGTTTGAATTTTAAAATGTTGCAGTGAGCATCTTTGAATTAGCAAATAGAGACTTATGTGATCATTTTCTCTTGCATTTCCTCTTACATTAATTATTTGTTCCTGTGCTTTACCTTTTCCTATCGACTAGATAGTTTTTACATATGTCATTGGAACATTGTCCATGAGTAGACTTCAGGAAGTATAGATTTTAATGAGATTTACAGTTTATAGTCTTGGCCAGCATCTCAATGTTATATAGGTCTTGCCTTAAATGTTACCTCTTTGGTTAAGTGGGACTTTTTTCGACTATCAAAGGAGCCTTCTGGGAGTGCCTGGGTGGCTCAGTCATTAAGCATCTGCCTTCCGCTCAGGTCATGATCCCAGGGTCCTGGGATCGAGCCCCACATTGGGCTCCCCGCTCCGCAGGAAGCCTACTTCTCCCTCTCCCACTCTCCCTGCTTGTGTTCCCTCTCTCACTGTGTCTTTCTCTGTCAAATAAATAAATAAAATCTTTAAGAAAAATTTTAAAAAAAGGAGCCTTCTGGTATTTATCACACTCTCTTGTTATATTATCATTATAGTGTTGTCATTATCTATCTATTCTTTGCTTAATTTTTTTTGGTAATTTGTTTTCCTCCACTAAAATATAAGGTCTGTGAGAGGAAGAATGTGCCTTGGTCATCTTATAACACAGGGCCTAAAATAATTCTTGGCATATAGTAAGCATTTAATAAATACTTTTTGCTTACATGAAAAAAAGAAATATTCTTAAAAGTTCAGAAACTTAAGTTTGTGTTAGGAAGTCCTAGAATGGTTTAGCTTTGGGGAACTAATTGATGATAATTCGTTGTCATCTAGTAATCAGAATACCAGTTTGTTTATTTATGATGGTGATATAAGTAGTATAAGGAAAGCTGGGATATACATTATGGGTTATTTTCCTTAGCATGATTATGCCAAAACCAAATTTTTATCAAGAATAAAAATTGAGTAACACATGGGAAATGGGAAAAAGAGAGTTGGGTGGTATTAAAAAATACTAAATACTATAGATTATATTGCTTAACAAGTACTTTATCTAGTAAATGCTTGTTCTTGGTCCTGAGAGTTGTGAGAGGCAATATGAAGGATTTGGTTTTGCTGCTCCAGTCATAAAAACAATAAAGTGCCAGCCCAGTTGGATGGTGGGTTAGATTGTATACCTATGTAAACAAAGAGGAGCATTAAGTTAAATTTGTATTTTGTTACAGATCAAAGAGCAAAAGTATAAAACATAAGTGGTGGTTCCATGAGAACAGTCAAAATAATAGATAAGTACTTACTAAAGCTCACTAATGGAAATGAATATTTCCATTTTCCATTTTTCTAAGTAGAATAAACCCTGAAACTGAATCAGGTTTTGCCCACAAGTCAGAACTACACCATTCAATTTGAAAAGACAGAGGCAGATATTTAAAAAAAAACCAAAAAACAAAAATCAAAAACAAAAAAAAATTTAGAAATATTTGGAAAAAATAGAAAAGTGGTACAACATAGTAGCATTGCTTAATTATTACTTTTCATGCACTCTAGTGTGGTAGACAGGCAGTATAGAATAGTAGTTAGATCTCGCTGTATGCCAGGGATTCAGTTCTAGCTCAGCCTACCACTAGCTGTGTGACCTTAGATAAATCACCAGTTTTCTCTGTGGCTTAGTTTCCTCATCTTGGGGTAATAGATCCTTTTTCATAAAGTTGCTGGGAATTTTAAACAAGAGTGTGTGTGTGTGTGTGTGTGTGTTAGAGTGTGTGTAGTTTTACAAAATGGTGCTTGGCAGATAATATAGTACTACATAAGTAATAGCCACTACAATTATTATCCAATAAATACTGAGTGTTACTGTTAGTCACTGTGCTGAGGATGGGAAGATCCTGCCCTAAAGGAACACAGAGTTCAAATTCTCTTTCATCCCAGTTCTTTTTTTCTATGTCTATATCCAAGAGAATAAATTCAAGGTACATAGTTTAATCTCAGTCTTTAATTTTTTCTCCAGTGTTATTGACGTATAGTTAATATGTAACATTGTATTAGTTTAAAGTTTACAGCATAATGATTTGATAGATGTATATATTGTGAAATGATTAGCACAATCAGTTTAACATCCATCACCTAACAGAATTACAAATTTTTTTCTTGTGATGAGTACTTCTAAGATCTATAAGATAAATAGTTCTGGGGATATAATGTACAGCATGGTAACTATAGTTAAAAATATATATTATATATTTGAAAGTTGCAAAGAGAGTAGATCAATCTTTAATTTTTAACTGATATTTAAAGAGATGGTTAGAAAATTGACCTGCTGCCTAAAATAAAATATTTTAAAGTCATTTTAAATCTTGTTTCATAGATGTTTGTTTGCTACTAATGGGTGTGAGCAAGTTAGATATTCTGTACCGGAGACTTCTCCTCACAAAACTTTTTATCAGAGGATGGGGGAGGCCAGAAGATCTCAAAAGGTAAGCATTTTTTTTTTCCAAATTTGCTTATTCTAAATTTGTTAGTAAACATTTAAAATTTTTTTTCAGCGATAAAATCCTTTCCTATAAATACAAAGTGACTGGCAAATTAAGCATTGAAGTATGTGAAACGTAATTATTTCCTTTTGTCGTTTGTCTTTTCAATTATTTCTCTTAAGTTTTAAACCATATAATCATAAAGTGAACTATTTTAAAAGTAATTTTAAAATTAAATAAAGTTAAAAATAAAGAGCTCTTAAATACAAGCTAGATTTTTAACTTTAATTATTTTTAAGTTGCTTAGAGTTTCCAGGGACCGAGCTTCCTTGGGTAACTTGAATTTGTAATGACAATAAAGCTGAGCTATACTGTAGCTCATGGAAATATCTGTACTTAAGAAAATGAATTTTCAGGATTTATGCCTTTAATTTTGAGTCTTGTATATGTTAACTGCTTTTTGAACAATGATATTTCTCACATATTTTATGAGACAAAATGTCCAGCTTGAATAAAAACCAATAGCCTCATCTTTTTCTCTAATGATTCAAATTAAATTTTGATATAGCTTATAAATTGGACTTGCAAATTTTTCAGCATTATACACTCTCAATACAATGGGCATACTGAATTTTTCCCTTTTCCCCCCTTATCATAATAGACTCTTTGAATTCAGAAAGATGATTGGAAATCGAGAAAGATGTCAGAATCTGGTTTCAAGTGATTATCCAGTACACATCGATAAGGTATTTAAGTAAAAGAAATGAAGTTACAGAAATTCTGGTTTAACATAAATTATGTGTCAAGAGTAGGTTGGGAGTGCCTGGGTGGCTCAGTCGGTTAAGCGTCTGCCTTTGGCTCAGGGCATGATCTCAGGGTCCTGGGATCAAGTCCCACATCAGGCTCCCTGCTCAGCAGGGAGTCTGCTTCTCCCTTCCATCTGTTGCTGCCCCCCCCGTACCCCCTCCCCCGCTTGTGCTCTCTGGCTCTCTCTATCGAATAAATAAAAATCTTAAAAAAAGAAACAACAAAGAGTAGGTTGAATGTTGGACTATAATAACAGTAAACACTAAAACATGAGTATAGATTTTTCATTTAATATTATTACTCTATGTGTCCTAAGAGGATGATTATAATAACGATCATTCATGTATATTTGAGAGCATATATTTATCACTTGCCTAAATACAAGAAAATATTTAAGTCTTGATGTTTTTGAGACTTGTTTTGTATCTTTAGGATTAGGAGGGTTAAAATAAATTATTCAACATCTCAGAAGAACTATAAGTAATACGGGGAAGTATTCTAGTTGGAGAATCAACACATGAGACGTTGTTGCCAAAACAGCTTATATATTTTTTTTTAATTTTATTTATTTATTTATTTATTTAAGAGAGAGAGAGTGCAGGGGGAGGGGAGAGGGAGAAGCAGACTCCCCACTGAGCAGGGAGCCAGATGTGCGGCTCAATCCCAGGACTCTGGGATCATGATTTGAACTGAAGGCAGATGCTTAACCGACTGAGCCACCCAGGCGCCCCATCAAAACAGCTTCTAAATAACATCAGGGAAATGTTATGTTAATTGATGGGAGAAGGGTAGAAAGAAAATGCTGTAACATTAGAGATGATGAGAAAATATATTTGAAATAGCTTTGTTTTTTAGCAAACATGTTTTTCTGTAAAGCAGTTCTAGGTTTATGTAATTGGATAATTGAGGTATTGTTGGGGAGGGGGTACAAATGCATGGGCTTCATATCCCTCATTGTCCTTCAACCGAAGTAACTCTACTTTCATCTCTTATGTATTGGATATCTTTAGAAGATTTCATTTTTCAAAACAGTTCCACTGCTAAAAACAAAATTTTATAAATTGGAAATCCCTTTTCTATACCATATACCTGTTCTTTCCATAGCTTCTGGATTTAGAACACTTCTCCCTCAAATTTTGCTAAATATTTCTATTATCGCTGTTTTTTCTATTAAAAATCATAGAATTAAACAAATTAAAATTATACCAAGTAAAAAATCAAAACTCTATAACTTTCTGCCACTTTCCACCACTTAATTCCATTTCTTTCCCAAGGAGGAGTTACTGTTCAGATTTTGGAATGCATTCTTACAGAGTTCCTTCCTCTCCCGGTATTCTCCCCATCACTGTCTCTCTTGGTTTTTAAAAACCAAGATATAATTCACCTGCCATGGAATTCACCCTTTTAAAGTGTGCAGTTCAGTGTTTTGTTTTTTACTACATTCCCAAGATGTGCAATCATCACCACTATCATTACCTACTTCCGGAATATTTTTATCTCCCCCAAAAGAAACCATATACCCATTAGCTGTTACTTCCCACTTCCATACAGCTTCCTCCCTGCTGGCAGTCATTAGTCTGCTATTCTGTATGGATTCACCGATTCTGGACATTTCATATAAATGGAATCATTTAATATGAGGCCTTTTGTGTCTGGTGTATTTCACTGAACAAATTTTCAAGGTTCATCCATGTTATCTAACAATACCTCACTTTTTTATTGTTAAATAATATTCCATTGTATAGATATGTGACATTTTGTTTATCCATTTATCAACTAATGGACATTTAGGTTTCTGCTTTTTGACTATTATGAATAATAATGCTATGAACATTCATGTGTAAGTGTTTTTGTGGATATGTGTTTTGAATTATTTAGATATATATAGGACTGGAATTTCTGGGTCATATGGTAATTCTGTGTTTAACTTTTTGACAAACTAAAAACTGTTTTCCAAAGTGCGCCATTTTACTTTTCCCACCAGCAGTGTATAATGGTTCCAATTTGTCCACATTCTCACTAATATTTGTATTAAACAGCCATCCTAGTGGGTGTGAAGTGTATTTTATTGTGATTTTTGATATGCCTTTCCCTTATGACTGTGATGTTGAGCATCTTTTCATGTGCTTATTGGCCATTTGCATATCTTCTTTGAGGAAATACCTATGAAATCATTGCCTTTTTTTTTTTTTAAGATTTATTTATTTATTTTAGAGAGAGAGAGCAAGCGAGAGCAGGGCAGGGGACAGAGGGACGGAGGGGGAGGGAGAGAGAGAATTTCAAGCACACTCCCCACCGAGTGTGGAACCCAACATGGGGCTTGATCTTGCCATCCTGAGATCATAACCTGAGCTGAAATCAAGAGTTGGACACTTAACTGACTAAGCCACCCAGGTGCCCCAAATCATTGCCTAATTTTTAACTGGGTTATTCATCTTTTTATTGTTGAGTTGTAGCTTAATTTTTAAATCTGTATTACTTATGGTTCTAAAATCTCCTTTTTTTTCTTACCAAATTGCCAGTTGTCCCAACATTATTTGTTGAATTATTACTCCCTTTCACATTAATCTGTGCTACCTCCTTTATCAAATAATTTATTCTTCTAAATTATACCAAAAGAAAACTTTAAAACCATAATAGGAGGCACAAAGACTAAAATATAAAAACTTCTTGGATTAGAAATTTCATATCATACACATTGGGTCTCCTTACCATTTTCAAAAAATGCAGTGCAATCCTAGTTAAAATATTCAGTTTAGAACTAAAGTCTATAAAAGGATCCTAAAAGTATTTTGGGAAGAACCATGAGAGTATGAACAGATCAGGAATACCTAAAAAAGAAGAGTGTTAAGTAAAACCTAGTTCAGTCATTTACCAATAGGTATTATAAAGCTGCAGCATGATCAAAACAGCAAGATTTAGTATAAATAAAAGATAGGCTGATAAGCATTATAAACAATGGCCAAATTGTGGAAACAGCCCAAGTGTCCATTGACTGATGAATGGATAAAGAAGATGTGGGGGATATAAATATACATCATGGAATATATATCATGGAATATTACTCAACCGTAAAAAAGAATGAAATCTTGCCATTTGCAACAACATGGTTGGCGCTAGAGAGTATTATACTAAGCAAAATAAGTCAGTGAGAAAGACAAATACCGTACGATTTCACTCATGTGGAATTTAAGAAACAAAACAAATGAACAAAGGGGAAAAAAAGAGAGGGAGGCAAAGAAACAGACTCTTAACTATAGGGAACAAGTTGATGGTACCAGAGGGGAGGCAGATGGAGGAATGGGTGAAACAGGTGATGGGTAGTAAGGAGGGCACTTGCTGAGATAAGCACTGGGTGTTGTATGTTAAATGATGAATCACTAAATTCTACATCTGAAACTAGTATTACACTGCATGTTAACTAGCTAGAATTTAAATTAAAACTTGGAAACTTAAAAAAAAAATGGGGGAAAAAAAGATAGGCTAATAAGAACCAATAAAGAATTGAAAATAATTTGCCAGGAGTGCCTGGGTGGCTCAGTTGATTAGGCATCTGCCTTCAGCTCAGGTCATGATCCCAGGGTCCTGGGACTGAGCCCTGCATGGGCTCCCAGCTCAGCAGAGAGCCTGCTTCTCCCTCTCCCTCTGCTGCTCTGCCTGCTTATGCTCTCTCTGTCAAATAAATAAATAAAATCTTTAAAAACAAAAAAAAAACTTACTTTATGATAAAGTAGAATTTAAGTCATTTGCAAAAAAAAAAAAGTGTGGAGGGGTGCCTGACTGGTTCAGTCGGTTAAGTGTCTCCCTTTGGCTCAGGTCATGATCTCAGGGTCCTGGGGCTCGGTGGGGAGCCTGCATCTCCCTCTCCCTCTGTCTGCAGCTCCCCCTGCTTGTGTTCTCTCTCTTTCTCTCAAATAAATAAATAAAATCTTTATAAAAAATGTGGATTATTTAATATAAGATATTGACACTACTGACTAGAATTTGTATTTTAAAATGAGCTGGATATATATAGTATCTACAGATACAGTTTTTTGTTTCCAATTTTAATGAAAATATGTGGTGTTTACTGCTAATTTAATTTTGACTACTGACCTGATAAAGATTTTTTATTTAAAAAAAAATAATTTGGCGGGGCGCCTGGGTGGCTCAGTCATTAAACGTCTGCCTTCGGCTCAGGTCATGACCCCAGGGTCCTGGGATCAAGCCCCACATTGGGCTCCTTGCTCTGCGGGAAGCCTGCTTCTCCCTCTCCCACTCCCCCTGTTTGTGTTCCCACTCTTGCTATCTCTCTCTCTGTCAAATAAATAAAGTCTTTAAAAAAATAATAATAACTTGGCTGGGGCCCCTGGGTGGCTCAGTCATTAAGCTCCCACCTTCGTCTCAGGTCATGATCCCAGGGTCCTGGAATTGAGCCCTGTGTAGGGCTCCCTGCTCAATAGGGTGTCTGCTTCTCCCTCTGCCCCTCCCCCTGCTCATATAAATAAAATAAATAAATAAAATCTTTTAAAAAAATAATATATAAACAAAAATAACTGAGGGGCACCTGGGTGGCTCTGTCGGTTAAGCGTCTGACTCTTGGTTTTGGCTTGGGTCATGATTTCATGGGTGGTGGGATCAAGCCCTGTGTCAGGCTCCATGCTCAGCAGGAGTCTATTTGAGATTCTTTCCCTCTGCTCCTCCTTATGCTCATGCTCTCTCTCAAATAAATAAATAAATCTTAAACAAAAAACCTATTTGAGGAGGGGAAAGTTTAGGTGTTAAATATTAGCAAATGCCTTTGCTGTGTATGTAAATATATATTTCTCCCTATTTAATGTGTTTACATGACTCATTGTGTCAATGGATTTCTTAAAATGAGCCATTCTAATATATTTAACATCAAATCAACCCTTATTTGATTTTGGTAAATTATTTTTACGGTTTCTTTGTAAATTGTTCTTATGGTTATTTTATATTTTTAAATTCTTCCAATTAGTATTTTATTTTGACTTATTTCATGCTGTTGTACAAATGAGGTTTATTTATAGTTTACTTTTCCTTTTTTTTTTTTTAAAAGATTTATTTATTTATTTTAGGGAGAGAGAAAGAGAGAGCATGAGCAGGAGGGAAGAGGGTGAGGGAGAGAGAATTTCAAGCACACTCCCCACCGAGTGTGGAACCCAACATGGGGCTTGATCTTGCCATCCTGAGATCATAACCTGAGCTGAAATCAAG